TGTAAGTTAGTACCTTTATTTACAAATTCACGTAGCGGTATCAGTATCAGTAGCGTAATATCTTTGCTTTCCGATAGCATCATCAACAACTACCTGCCGATTTCTAAATTTTATACTGCGCATTGTGCACCTAACCTTTTTTTAGGCGCCCTACTCCGAGGAGGACCCGGACCATGTTATTTCCGGTCCCCCCCCGATCGACGCCTAGTAAAGCCTTATCCTGTGGAAGCCGCCGGCGTCCCTCGACTATCGGAGCCAGGATTCAAATTCCAGGAGGATTTAATAAGATAGTGGATCTACCGTTTACGCCTTCCTCAGACAATTCTCGCATTTTCATTAAATTTGAAGGTAGGGTGTTCGTTTGATTGGTATTCTTCAAGTTTTTAAAGCGTGAAAGGCAGGGAGGAAAAGGAAGTGCAATTTTGCTGATGCGAGAAAAATTACAATTAAATTTACATTTAGCTCTGTGTGTCAAATTGGCATCAACAATATAATTCAGCGTTCATTCATGTTTGAGCACTGGTAAAAAAATCTTTGAATGTAATGAAAGTACATGGCAAAATGCATTTTTTATGAAAATTTAATGGTGATTTTGTATTGTGTGTGCCAGTGACAATAAAAGTATATTTACTTCCACCAGAAACACCCAGCCTAACTTTTTTAGTCGTCACAGTGTAAGTAGCGAATACGAATGTATAAAAATATGTAATACTGACCACAAAGCCGAAATACTTGAAGATGACCATTATTGCCCATCTTATTGACTTGTAGGTAGGTATGTATGTTGTAGGGTCATGTAGAAATAATTTATATATTTGATTTAGCAGCCAACCGAGTAGGTACTTGTTCCCGAAATCTTACTTTTCTTTATCATGGTTTGAAGTTTTGGCTTGGTTGGATTAAATACTAAAGACATTATGCTTTGCTACTCGCAATTAGTGAAAGGTGTTGTGTTGAACACAGCTAAAAATCATCATCATCCGCTTCCTACCTATTTCTCAATGCAATGTATAATATTTCTCAATGCAATATGGGATCGGCGCAATGTGTTTTGGCATCTTTTTTATGACCGGCTGGCTGCGGTCAACCCTCCTTGAGCATGTATGTGGTAAGGGACTATACTAAGTGATGCTTAAACTCTCGGATGAGGAAACGGGACTGAGAGGGTGTGAGTGAGAAGCCAATAGGATAGGGATACCAATTAATTGGCCATTTGTCCAGTGACAGTTAAACCAAAGATAACAATTTTTAAAGTATATTATCGACCAAGTTTTCAGTCACAAGTAGATTTTTCTTGTAATAATTTTTAATTTACCTACGTGTATAACTCGTTATACTTTCATTAATAATTATTACGTAGGTATACAGTGTTATAAAATATATATGTTTTATAAACTAGGTCTGCAATTTACAATCAAATAACGACAATTAAATAATCAAACGTGAAAGTTGCAGAAAGAAACAGTTTTCTTACTATTGGTATATACTAGTGGCACTTAAGAAGGAACGGGTATTCGAACCCTACACTAAAATGTATTTGTAGTAGTAAGGTAAGCAATGGTGCTAATTCTGTTGTTCGTAAACTCTCTAAACTAAACTAAAAATCACTAAAAATTAGTTTAGTCCTGTCAAACAACGTTTCGTATTCTGACAACGTAGAACTTAACTATATTTAGTTTGACACAACCAAAATTAGTTAAGTTACTCAACTTAGTCCTTTTTTGCTCATTTGTTATTCTGTTGTACTTTCTAAACGTCAAAAATTGACTAAAATTAAAAACGTCACACTAAAATTAGACGCTAGCTAAATACATCCCGACTAACCTAATAATTAGAGTTTTTAAGTATAAAATTTAAAATTTTAGCGAATTAATTTTTTAAAATGATAAGTGATTACGTGATTATGGTTTTGGTCAGTTCAGCGGAAAGGTATGTGCATAATATTATTCATCATAAATCACAAATAATTATGAGCCTTATCTGAATTATTAAAACAAACATACTTATGTATTATTTTTAGAAACTATCAAGAACGAATACGCTTAGAACGTATGCGAGATAACTCCAATCCGTTTGAGTTGGCAGAGGAAAAATTTCAGAAACTCTGCAAACTCTGAAATCTGCTACTTTTCAATTAGTCAGCGATCTCGATGATCAACGCCTGGATGAAGGCATCATACCTAAACACCTAAAGGTCTGCTTTATTACATTGAGCACAATATAAATCCACTGTTTCTATCTTGTACCTACTCTTCATATTGAACTCATTTTTCAGGTTTTATCTGCACTTCAATTTTTTGCTCAAGGGAGTTACCAAGCTGCTGTAGGGCAAGACAATTTCATTGCACTTAGCCAACCTTCTGTTAGCAGGTGCATTAAAATAACAGCAGATTTAATAGTGGAGAAGCTTTTACCTAATTGTATAAAATTTCCCATGACTGAGAGTGAAAAACTGATTGCAATGACAGAATAAGTTAACAGCCATATATTATTGTTTTGGTGATAATCATCAATTTCTACATCTTAAGTATCATAAGATCTATGAAATACTTATAGTGTTCACCTTTTCAGATTTCAAGAGCTGTTTAATATGCCTAACACCTTAAGTGCAGTAGATGGGACACATATTTCAATAGCAAAGCCATCTATAAATCACACTACTGCACCTGGAAATCTTTTCTATAATAGAAAAGGATTCTACAGTATTAACTGTCAGATTGTGAGTATCATACTCCATCCATACTCTATTATTATACTAAATATACATACATACTCTTTATACCTTCCAACAGCATTCACAAAATGTTTATTATTTTCTAATGCAAAGATTATATAACAACATTAATTTCATCTATTTAATTTAGTCATTTTAGATTTAAAAAAAACCCATACAAATGTATATGAATCAGGACAAAGAGTTTTAATTTGAGTTAGGTTTTGCATATTTAACATAAATTTACTTATATTATTTTGTGTAGATTTTAAATACTAATTGTCTTTTAGGTGTGTAGTGCAAAAGGGAAAATTATTGGGCTCAATCCAAATTTTCCTGGCTCAACACATGATGCTGCTATCTGGAGAGCATCAACTATAAATCATTTTTTAAAAAGTAATTTTTTGTCTGGAGAGAGAAACCAATGGCTTTTAGGTAATAAGTTTGTACTCATTTATTGATTGTTTTATTTATTTGTTAGCAGTATATAATATATTTACTTATAACATATACACACATATATATACATGTCTGTACTTAACACATTTTACTGTTCTGTTCTTCATTTCCAGATGATAATCATTATGATGTGGAAATACAAGATGTAAATATTGTGGTTGAGGAAGAAAACCAAGATTTTTTGATAGAGGCAAGACAGATTAGGGAAGAATTAATACAAACTCATTTTAATTATTAGTTTTAATATATTGTTTAATTAAAGCTCTGTTTTTTATTATTTATATAATCAACAATCATCATAAAAATCACAAACAAATAATAATTTAAAATAACATGTAAAAAAATCAACAAAATAAAAACAAAGGGACAAATAAAATAAAATGGATTAGACAAAGTTATCAAACGAGCTATTCTTGCAGGAAGTAGTAGCAGTTTACGAAAAATACAACCATAGCAATAACATAAACCAATAATAAAAGTTGATACTTTACTATTGGTTAATGTTGTTGCTATGACTTGAATTATGTGTTGAAGTAATTGCTGATGCTAAGATCTCAGCAGCACGCAATGTAGAAGCACTGCTGTCTCTCAAAGCAGCAGCAATCACTTCAGCACTATGTCTAATGGTTTTTTGTAAACTGTTACTGCTTTCTTGCAAAGAACGTAACAGGTTGTCGTAGGCAGGAGGACGTGAGGGCCTAGGCGTAATGCGGCGTCTTGGCACAATCCGACGACGAATTGGGCCGGGTACTGCCGAGACACCGGATATAGGCTGCGGTTGCTCCTGTTCCTCCTGGGGCTCCTGCGGAGACTGCACAGAGGGCAGCAATACTGGTGCAGGTGGCGAGACGCGCGCAAAAGAAAGTGTTATTCCCTAGAATTAAAATAATAACAATGACTTTATTCAGTAAGAAGTCTGTATGTGTGTATGTGGCTTAACACCTGTATCATGGCAACAGTGCTCTTCCAGCATAATAACTTACACCCAGACACCAAACAAATGACCGTGCTCATCACATTACATTTTTTCTGGGTGGGAATCGAATCCACAACCTCAAGCTTAGCAGTCAGGGCACTAACCACTAGACCAACAGGCCCCGACCAACAGTGTATGTGAGTTCCTCTCTATGTGAATTAGGGAGTGTGAGAGGATGTGTAAAGGTCTTGTAATAAAATAAGTATGTATTGTGTTTCGCTATACAGCATTAGGTGATAGTATGTTTTAAGATTAAACAATATTTTACCACTTCAAGACTGGCAAATCCTTGAATGGAGGCAATCCCAACTACATCTATAATTTTTTGCTCAATATCTGTGAGCTCAGATATAGTTGGTCCTCCTCCTGTTGCCCTTATGGAGTCATTAATTTTGCGCGCCTTAGTCTTAACTTTGGCCACCCATACACTCCAAACCTAAACAAAAATAATTAAACAGGCATAAGTAAAGACGATATAAATAAATAATAAGTTGCTATGGTATACATTTCCCAGCACAAAACCTGTTAGCAGAATGCTAAAATTAGTAGTTTGTAAGGGTGAGAGATGCTTTCTATGCAAATTCTTTGACCGCTGGTGACCGCTTTAACTACTACAGTATAAATTCTATTGAATGTTACTGAGATTGAAGGTTTTTACATTAGGTATCACTGGCTTCGTAAGTTAAATATACGTCAGACGATCTTCACGACTTTAGTATTACAAGAAAATACAAAACAAAAGATACCGTTTGAATGAGTAAAAACACGGGTCTTCTATAAGATACTTACATGCTGCTACTGCTGTACAGTTCTATTACAGCCCAAACTGTTAAGCTCGTTTGATAAATTGGTCTAAAATTCCATGGTACTTGGATCTGCCTGATTGCCTAAAAAAACAAAATTAATGTGATGAAAATACAGTTAAAATTAACATAGTAAAAATGATATTTCTTAGAAACTCAAACACTGAATAATTCTCACCTCTCGCCACTTCTAGGTTGTTATGGAGGCGCTCAACCAGCAGCTCCTGCTGCCTCTTGTTGGCCCTCTTTTTCCTATCGTCCATTACTATTAAATAAAATATATATAATAAAAAAATATATTCTAATTACATTAAAACTATACTGTCATGTCAAATTGACCTGCACAGATTCAGAAATCATAACTTTCGTACATATTTGTTACCACAAATAAGGTTTACCACGGGCTGCCAGTTATGTGAACTAAGTAAAACTGTATTTACTTCGTTAAAACTGTAAAATACAACATTTTGTTTACTATTTGATCTATAATATGCATTAATAATCATTTACACGCATTCTAAAATCCTAAAAATATCGTTTCAAAAGATTTATGAATTCACTCTAAATCTTTCTCTATATCATTCATTCCTAATTTTTAAACAAAGGTAACATTTCCATTTTAATTTTTAGTGATGTCAGATTCAAATTTAATGCTGTCAAAATGAACACCAAATTTAGTTCGACCTAACAACAGAATAGCATTTTGAACATCGCTTGACTAAAATAAGAGAATTTTAGAGAAATTTTAGTTTAGTGATGTCAACAACAGAATTAGCACCAATATCTACTTTTCTTAAAATTATACATTTCAATACTTAAAGTAAAGTTAAAAAGTTAAAAACGTGATAGAAATGAAACTTCGGAAAAAACTTACCTACGCTTCTCTTTTTTTCCTCTACGTTACGTTATACTTTTTTGCTTTTATATAACTAAATGTGCTTAAAAGTGACGGGCTCTTAAATATAACTTTGGATTCTCATGGCTTGTCGATAATTATCTATCGCATTGCCACCTAAGAAGTTTGACTTGAAAAAAAAAACTGTCGTTACAAACATTCTGCTTTAAAGTCGCTTTTAGTCAAACAAATTTCATCCGTTATGTATTTGTGCAAAACAAAAAACATCGACCTACAATTTAGTTAAGTGACGTCTGTATTACCTTTCTATAAAGTGTGTAAACTCTTGTTTTTTTTCACTTAAATAAAATCGTTATGATGAACATTTAAATTTTAATTATTACTTTTTATTTCAAGCTAGTTCTTTGCTACCTCCACGTCCAGATACTTTACATCACCAAAATACACGGTAACAACAACACAACAGCATACGATCAAACTACTACAATATCTTGTTTGGAAGAAATGAATCAAAAGAAGGCACAGATGTACAATCGAATTCTCATAAAACAATATTTACATACCATAAATTAGTTAACAACAAAACTAAACTGTATCTAGTTCTAACTAAAAATAAACAATAAATACTTACACCATAACACATATGAATATAAAACATTAAAATCGATTTTCGTATCTGCAAATAAAGTGTCAATCAAGTACACCCATATGTTATAGATTTACAATCTATATGTCTTTAACAACCTTATACCTGTGCACCCGGATGACGACAGGCGCCTCGGTACTCACGGCTGGTGTTCTTTTTGGACCTGCTTTTGAGGGTCTTCGGCGGTATGTGAAGCCTCCGCGAGGGTTCGGACGTGCGTATATAATCTTGACGTCGTCGTCTGAAGCCGATGCTGTAGGCGCTGCGAACTGATGTGAACCATAATGGTACGACTCAAGATAGGCTGGGCGCTCGTCGTATGCAGGTGCCGTATACTCGTATTCGTTGTGCGCAGACGGCGCGTAATCATTGTCGCGGTATGGAGCACGCACGTATATAGGATGTTCGACCGACGACTCGTATGTTCGTTCATAGGACAGAGGTCTAGCGGTCAGGACGTGCAGCACCTTCATAGGTCCGTGTAAAGGAATTGCCGCGTATACAACTTGTCGGTAGGGCCTCGGGTGTTCGTTGGCGTAGACGCCGTAGCCGGTATGTCTCCGAATCATCGGCCCCAGGACTGCACTATGCACAAACACGCATAGGGATGATAACACCAAGTGTGTCTGAAAAGGAATACCAAAATAATATCTGTAATTAGTACTACCTACCTACTTCGGTGTTATTTTTACACTTGAAGTTTATCAGAAAATTAGAAGGAAATATATTTAATTTTTGTATAGATTATTCAATGCGTATGTTTTACTATAACCTTTATCCAGAACACTTCGATATTGGTATTATTAAAATAAAAAGAGTTTGGAAATGTGGAAACTCACAAGCACATGCATGTCGTCCGCGGCGAGTGTCGAGCGATGTACTGCACGCGCATTCGCCAAGGCATCGCCAATTCTTCAGCTTCAGAAGCTCCGGCGGCGACGGTGGCGGCTAAGGAACATCGTATAGAGCTGCTAAGTGTTGATTGTTATCACACTTCCTGTCACACCACTGGTATCATAATCAACAACCTTTATTTGTCTACTAGTGGATATAGGCCTCTCCTTAGAAAGAAGGTTTTGGCCTACTATACCACGCTGGCCAGACGGGTTGGTATAGGGGTTGTTTCAAGTTTTTTTTCTCTTTGCAGTACTGTTGTCCTGGGTAGTTTGTTTCCTTAGTCGGCTCTTACGACGTCACCACTGGTATATTGAAGGCCATTTAAAACTAGTTGTCTCTCATAGCTTAACTCAAACAACATCATGTAGTATGGTGACACACTTGTGACTTCGTTACATTCTAATGCACTTGTTTCCTTTAAGGAATTAAAAGCACTTTAGCATAGAGCATAGTTATAGTTAAACCGCCGTAAGCTTGGCCCTCCTGATGGTTTGCGGGACGCGGGGCGGGTGATGCGCTCGGCTATACATGACACGATGTACTAACTCGATATCTTCAGATTTATTTGTTTCAGATTTAATCTACACACGATGTAATAAAAATCGAATTTATTCCCATGTATTATAATGTCAGTGTATTATAAGTTTGTATGATTAATTGTAAAATTTAATACTGTAAAATAATTTTAATAAAATCACCTTATCTTCATCATCTAAATTATATTCAGATACAATTTAAAAATTAAGTAAAATAATAAATGTTCTTTATTAGAACTTTAACAGTAGAACCTCTGTAAGCCGAACTTCAAGTTTTTAAATCTTTTTGTGACGCAGAGTCGGCAGATTATCCATGTTACAAAATAATACCGTGTGTAGCAGTCTTAAGAAAAATAACACGTACAGCCATGCTTTCACGTCAGTCACTGCCGGCGGACAGCGACGCACTAGCTAAGTGGTTGAATGCACCCCCGCCCCGCGTCCCCCAAACCATCAGGAGGGCCAAGCTTACGGCGGTTTAACTATAGTATAGTGGATATAGGTAAGCCGCGTGAAGCAATTCGCAATTACAGGTATTGATCTGGTCAAGTTATTATTTATAGGAAAGTAATTTTGTTTATATTACTTTCCAAGCATTAGCTCTCTCTCTCTCCACGTTTGTTATCCGTTTTATATACTCCAAAACTTATCTTATCCCTAAAGTGTCCAGTAGCAATGAAGTAGAAATATTTTTAAAATGTAACGAAGATTATCCTTGGCAAAATGTACCTCTTCAGGGACATGAGTCTGATTCTATATAAATAGCCATATATATGTGTATGTACTTCAAATATTTTACAAATAAGCAAGAAAGGATCGTGTAGCCCATCTCTATAGTGGTTACAATATAGGGGTATGGAGTAATAAGACTTCAAAACAAACTACATGTTCAGTAGTTGGTCTATTTATAATAGATGTGTCGTTAAATGTAATAAGTGAATTTTACAGCTCTATATAGTATTCGGCGCGTGTATGTTGTTGGTAAGTGCAGCCGCGGGTACCCGGAGCGCGTTTCCTTCCGCGTCGCGCCACTGCGGTGCGTGCCACACAATGCGCAACAACGTCATTACGCTGCTTGAACACATTAATTATAAATTTTTTAGGTAAATTAAGTCGTCACATTCATTTGGTTTCCTATATTTATTGATGTATCGTTTAATCAATTTATTTTAACAAACGTTAGCACGTATGATGGGGGGTATGCCCATATGAAATAGAATAAGTACTTATTACAAAACCTCGGAAAGTACTTATCAGTCATTAGGAACCTGCCTATTTTGTAACTTAACAAACAAAAATCAGGAACGCCGTTCGTCTGTCAAACGAATGTCTTTCTCAGTCATGTATTTAATTTAATGAGTAGCACTAACTATAGTTAAATACAAAAATACAAATACAAAATGTTTTATTTCGTTACCAAAAATGAGTATCAAAATATTCGTGATTGGAGCTTCCCTTTAAGCAAATGACGCCTGTATTAGGAGACTCCGCTCTTCCATAGCATAATTGTTACATAGCTGGTACATGATTGTGTTCATTTGATTCTCACAAACTTACTTGAACACAAAAAAAATATATTTTAATTTTAATAATATTATGAAATCCCTACTAGTTAATATTATAAATGCGAAAGTACTTCTGTCTGTCTGTCACACATTGAAGGCTATATCGCCTAACTGATTTTAATAAAATTTGTCATGGAGATACTTTGTTTGGTGAGTAAGGACATAGCCTACATACTTTTTTTTTAAGTATTACAATATACTTTATCACCAAATTATACTGAAGGAAGCAAATTCAATAAAATTATATGATAAGCTACGTTAACGGATGATGTAACATTAAGTTAAAGTTAGTCCATCACTCAAGATCGCTCTTAATTTAAACACTTACACTTAGTAATTTCATCAATGTCATCAGGGTAATTGATCGCAGTGTCGTTTTGCGTGGTAGTTGCGCAAGCGCAGTAAATAGCGATGAATTATGTACATAGGTAAGTGGGCAATGTTTAACATTAGTCATTCAGATACATTTAATTAATTATATTTGCAAAATTGACTTGATTTAACTGAATTAAAAAGTAGGATATTCTGATACCAAATATTAAACATTTTTATTATAATTGGATTAAAAAACGATTGTAAGGTATAAAAACAAATTTATTATAAAAGTATAACATTTTCACAAAAGGTATTTTGTGTAGTCACTCCTCACCACCAACCGGAGGAGATGGCAGGCTCGTAGCTGGAGATATGGCTGTTCACCTGCGGGACGGATACGACGCGGGGAACGGACACGATCTTCTTTACTGAGATCACCTATGACATAAAGAAATTTGTAAAAAACTGTTTTTTATAAGAAAAACGACGTTAATGGTCCATGGACTCCCGGTCGCCACGAAGTTCGTAACTATAGCAAGAAGTGTCGGAAAAAAGTCTTGTTACACATTATTCGGTCTCGCTCCTATCCGCTCGGAGCTTCGTTCCAATATAACCATAGAAAGAGAACAGAATGGTAATCGTAGATCATTGTCTTTGGGTTTTGGAATTTTTGGAACTTTTTCGTACATTGAACACACTACTACTTGTAAAGTTTAATACAGCATATATTTATTCATAAACTTCAAAGATGTTTATCCGACTGTGTCGTGGCCCCTTCAAGGGAGGTATATGTTTTAACTAAGTTTAAAAAAGTAGATATTGATAGCTGTGTAGCTCTTTCTAAACAAATAAGGCCCACAGAAACATATCATATTTCTAATATTTAATGTTTAGGGCTAAATATAGGCAATATATGCTATATATAAAAGCGCTATAGCGACCAACAGAGGTCCAAATATGTTGATCTGTCACGGTGCAAAAGATAATACATTCTATGAAAGTTGTAAGATCGAAAGTTGACCCGAACTGAATTGAGACCGAACTTTTATTACGAAAATTGGCTTCAGGTGATATTTAGTAATATTATTTCATGCAATATGTAAAAAGATATATTTCGAGGAAAGTGTAAGCATTAGTTTTAGTGCCGTAACTCTGCCGTCATCCAAAATGAACTTGTCCCACTTAGAATGCTAATGGCGGCAATGAGGCGGCAATTTCAAAGCGTTGCTGTTCGTATGAGCGCTCCTTATATACTTATGTATAAGCACCGTGGTCTTTGTTTACACACTATCACAATATTTGTGGTGTCCTTTTAACACCATGAAGGAAGCAAACTATTCTTCATTGTCGCTATCTGACTTTAGAAGTGGCCCATTGCCCGCCTAGACAACAAGAAGTCTATACACGATATCAGTAACGAGTGTTTGTATGCTCGTAATATTTTAAGATAAGGTCGAGGCCGCCTGATTCCAAACCTGGCAGAGCCTGTACTATGGTATCCAGACTGCTGATAAAGATACTTATATAATTCTAAATACATACATAATTATATATACCCAGAATTACACCCAAACACAGAATAAATGATCGTGCCTATCACCCAAATATTTGGGAATCGAACCCACGAACTCTGACTTAGCAGTCAGATTCGCCAACAGGCAAATATAGGCAGTATGAAGCGTTTGGAATACAGAAGTCAAGTCAAGTACATACCTTAGGGACATCGACGACTTTCTTTACGGAGATAATGGTGGGCTGGTTAATGACAGCAGGCTCGTGGACGATCGTAGGCTTCGAGATGATAGAGTGTGAGATGATAGGCCCGTCTAAAGAGTAGGAGCTGAGGCCACGGTCTAAGGAGTAAGCGCTCAGGTCGGAGTCCAACCAGCCGGAGGACAGGTAGCCAGAGGATAGGTAGCCGCGTTTGTCACGTTTGCCTTCAGGTGCGGCCAGAGCCACAGCGGCCAGGAGAGCTACGCAGAACTGGAATATAATAGATACAGTTAGTAATAAACCGCTGTTTCTGTCACAGTTTATAATTATATCTAATATTGAAATGATTTGTTTCTTTGTAGTCAAAGAAATGCAAAACTACTGAACGATTTAATCAATTTTTTTCACAATTTGGAAAACTACTTTATTTAAAAGGGATATTAGGCTAAATATTCCAGTAATAGATACGCGATCGAAGCCGTAAGTACTTAGTATTTGGATGAAATAAGTGCCTATAAACCGATTTCAAAACGGGACCTCCTCCCGTTTTGAATTCGGTTTATCGGCACTTCTTTCTTCTCCTCAGTTCGAAGTTTTTTTTTTTATGTTTGTTAACTCAGAGCACCGTGATTTGTTAACCGATTTGGAAACTTGGTTTTTTATATGGGAGGGTAACTAACTACCTATACTTCCCGTTTGGTCCCGTGTTTGATGACAACACAGTTTATGACAATTTATTATAATGTAGACAAATTGAAGTCGGTGTCACTTGTTAAAAGTTAATTATGTGATGTATCAACTACATTTTCGAAACGTCGAAAATAAATGAACTTGATTGAAAATATACTCGTATTTAAAAAGTAATTAATCTTGTTGCAACAATATTATAATCTTAGATATTTTAATAACATATTTTGGTTGATATATATGTGTGAAGGTCGGCGCTTAACCTGCGGCCTGATACTCACGAATGCCTTCATGTTGGTGTTCGTGGTTCGTTGGTGGGTGGAGCTGAGGACACAGAGAGACTGATGCTGTCTGTGGTGACGCCGCGCCGTTATATACTCACTGCGCTGACAAATTACATAATTCAGCAAAATCTTTATATTTGTTGCAAAACTCATGTTTTATTATAATTAAATATAAAAATATGCACATATAAATATATGCAGTACGGAGACATCACGAGTTAATGCGTTGAATATTTTAATTAATCATGTGGTAGGAACTGAGGGTTCAGTTAGTTCCGCAGACGACTCGGTCGCAGAACGATCTCCGTCCTCCATAAGCGCAGGCCTGGGGGTGACAGGTGAGGCCATCTGTCATTCTAGCAGAAGCAGGCCGGAGTGGCGGCGAGACACGCTGCCGAGCGGTCGCGTTCTTTTGGGAGCATAAAGGGAACATGGGGATTGTCACACAGGAGGGGGTCATCTACACGCCGTGGATGGCACGAGGTACGTCGGGGTACCAGGGACTTCCTTTCTAGGGTACACCTGGTTCCCCAGCTGCTGGTACCTGAGTTCGACATAATCACTTCACCAGTTGGTGATATCCGATGGGTTTTCCGCACAGGAAAAGAAAAAAAAGGGTTCAGTTAGTTTCAAACACATACCTTAGGTACCTGGTGTGCCAGGTTTTCTCTCTAAATAGGATCAAGTCCACACGCCACTGCGATCGTCTCAGATTATCTATATCAAGACAACTCAGCACGCACAGAATAGCGATTACTTATAAGTCATTTTCACGTGTATTTCGATTTTCTATGCGTTTCGAGCGTGCCGAAGTTCTGTACACCTATTTTATCAAACCAAATTAATATTATAAATGGGTAAGTGTCTGTCTGTCTATCTGTAAGTCTGTTACATCTTCACACTAAAACCGCTAAACCGATTCAGATGAAGGTATACAGATAGTTTGAGTTCCGGGAAAGCAGATAGGATAGTTTTTGTCCCAGAAATTATCCTTTAAAGGGGTGAAAAAGGGGGTTTAAGGTTGTACAGGGAATCAAAAACCGCTGAACCGATTTAGATGAAATTTGGTATGGAGATAGTTCGATTCTTAAGGAAGGACATAGGCTAACCGACGAAAACCGACACACACGCGGGTGGAACTACGCCCAAAAGCTAGTGTATAAAGAATTAAAAAAAAAAGTATTGTAAAAAAGTATTTTTAAATGTAAACATGACGCATGATTTATATTTCTTATCACCTTTAAATTTAATTGAGACTAACCGTGATTACAAACAATTCCATTATAACTATAAAATTATTAAAATTTAGCTACCAACAGTTTACTTAAGAATCTTAAACTTTTTAAAATTGGTTAAAAATTGCACAAAATGTTATTGTTATTTTGAGATGCAAAAAAATAATACTAATTATTAATATTAATTAAATATTAATTAAAAAAAAAATTCTAGGTAAGGGGTTATGCCCCACTTATAAACGCTTGTGTCTCCAGGGGGAAAGCATTTACGTCAGCTACTATTTAAAGGAGCGCACAGTCCTTTCTTGACTAACCCCATACAGACCTAGGAAACCTTGGCAAAGAGTTCACTCTACGGCGGCATTCAGATTTTAAGGCGTGAGGGTGAGACCGTGCCCTGTGATGTTTATATAGTTTTTATCAATAGATTTAAGGATTTATGAGTAATGATTATAAAATGGGACACTAGATTTAAACAATTATACTTAGTACTTGTTCATTCATTCATTCACCTAACATCGCACATTATATTGCACGCTGAGCGACTTTAAACTTGTGGACCAGTCGAATAAAAATAGTAATAATTTAAATATAAATTGTCCAAGACTGAACAAGGCTTCTTTTGAGATAGAACTATTTAAACGAAGCTATGTATCACGAAGTTTTTTTTAAGTAATCTATTTAAACTAAAAATAATATTGCTGGAAAATACATTTACACGTATTTTTCGGTTACAAATTCCTTGGTAAAATTTATGTGATTGCTCGAAACTCTTAATTACTGCGAATAGAATGAATTACAGTGCGGTTCATTTGAATGTTGGCCACACATTCCATTCATACTCTTGCGAGGCCGTGGTGGGCTCACTAGTAGTTAGATTTTTACTCATTTTAAAGCTAATTTCTATGTTAAACGGAATAAAAATAGACGGCATTAATATTATAATAGGGTAGCGTCTCTCCTTAACGGTCTGTGTAGCTGGAGTTTGTAAAAGAAAACATCGTTCTCATCTGTGGTTTTTAACTTTGCAGCACAAAAGTATTAATGTGTAACATGAAAGAACGGTCACGGTTAATACATTCATTCTACGTTACACAATATATTATATTTACATAAAATAAAATACTATTTATTAAATAACAAAATACAGTATACATAATTTATTAAAGTTTTGATTTACAATTCAAACAGTGGCAAATAAATGTAACAAAGTGTCAGGGTCGTGTTCAAGCTGCCATGTCATTATATAATAGCTGACCCGCGCAACTTCATCTGCTTCAAATCACGCACAAAAGGAATAAATTTTCCCCGTTTTCGCAACATTTTTCACTGATGTGATTTCTACTGTTCGTGGCATGATATTATATATCCTGTATCCTTCTTCGATAAAAGGGCTATCCAACATTTTTCAATTCGAACCAGGAGTTCTTGAGATTACACCGAACATACAAACTCACAAACTCTACATCTTTCTAATATTAGTATAGAAGAATAGATTAGTAGGTACCTTTAGCTATTGATAATGTGTTCAAATATCGTCATTATCTATTTAAGCACCTTGACATAAAACCCAGTAGGTGTCATAAAAATATATTCAAAATGTAAACTTATAAACTGTATCAAGGTAACTTATTAAAATGTACATCAATAGCTGCAGAAAAGAAAACGTTGCAGGATAAGCGTTGATATTTGCAATAAAAGGGCAGTTTTTAACATAAAACTGAAATTCAAATAAAGTCACAAAAAATGGTAATAAATAAATGGAAATAAACTCTCGCCTGATCAATGGCAAGGACCTGCCGCAAAATTGCGTTTGGTGTGTTGGGTATGAGTTAATACAAACCTCAAACAAGTCTTGTTCCCCACACCTGTAACGGGCGGGATTGTTGCGGGATTATTCTAGCCCTCAAAAATTGACCATGGGTGTTTATGTTTTGTGTGGAGACCGCGTCTCGGTAAACGTAGTGTAGGACAGGCCAGGTGGAGTGACGATTTGCGCAAGATGGCTGGCAGGAGCTGGATGCGAGAAGCCCAAAATCGATCTAAGTGGCTTGCAATGGGAGAGGCCTATGTCCAGCAGTGGACTGCGATAGGCTGATGATGATGATGATGTTTATGTTTTAAGGTTAGGATTGAATGTCGCATACCGAGCAGCATGTCCAGTTTTACGACTCTTGGAACTATCAAGTTCAAATTCAAATGTCAAGTTCAATTCAAATTGAGACATATTAACATTGTATGTTTCACGGATGTTACAAATTTACATAAGGAAGGCTTTGGTAATGCATTGATATGGCGTTAACTGATTAATCGCTCGACGACTGGTCGACTAACACTGTCTAAGTTCCCGGCACTTAATGGGTGGTTTCGGACGACTAAGTAGTGCAATAGTGGTAGGCTTAATACGAGTATCTATACATTAAAAGATGGTTTAGTTTTGAAATGCCCTTGTCCTAGGGAGTCCGAGGGGTCCGAGGGATAGTATTAAGCAATTCTTACGTAGCTTTTCACAGAGTGAATGAGTTTACCGGAGATGACAGACCCCCTCCCCCACAATTCCACATATTCATGGGGCTTTCAAATTGCGACTTGAGTTGGATATGTTGAGCGGCGGTAGTTTGTTACTATCAAGTTACCCGTTTGTTCGTTTCCTAATAACTGTTCTGATTACTTGATAATAAAACTCGCTAAAAATATAAATTTATGTAATCTATAAATTGATCAATATACAGATTGTACATATAAATGAAGCCATATGTAAATTCGTGTGTATTAATTATAATTTGAAATTTTGCAAATCAACATTGAACCCACTTATAATTATAACATATTTTTGTGTTTGTAATTATGTATTGGTTTACGTTATGGCGTAATATTGTATGTATGATAGGCTTAGATGCCGCCATCATGATTTATAAACGATTCAATGTTAGGCAATGATGTCAGGTGCGGAGTGATGAGGCGAATTACTGCACGAATGCCGTAGTGGATTAAACGGTCACCTCGGCACTTCCTACTGCGTTGAGTGATGTGGGTTCGATCCCCACATGGGATAACACTTTGTGCGATTCACTAATTGTTGTTTCATAATACCATATTTTAATTAATCATACAACAAATAGCGGTATTTGAATTAAATAAAATATACACACACAGAACAGGATAATTAAAATTAACCAGGTAATTGCTTATTTTTAAGTTTTTTTTTTGTTTTCTTTGTATGTCCTTTTTTATATTTATGACATTGGGATCTTTATATTACGTGTGGATTGACGCATACTGCTGGTACGTTGCTCATGGACGTCGGAGATTGTTCTGTGGTCTGCAATTCTTCGGGATTGGTAAGTACTGGGCTTCTTTCATTCCCTTTCCGTCGCATCTCTAGGAGACACATCCTCACAAAAATAATCGTCGGAATCCCACGCACTGTCACTTTAGACCATAGCCTGATCCATGGTCCCAATGAGAGGCTTCCCACGCCTATAGCTGCCACGAGGTTGCAGTGATATTTTGTCTATCGCTACGACCTGGACTGTGGCATGACCCTGTTTCCTGTAACACAGTTTCAACTAGCGCAGGAGTCAGGGGATTCTCAATTAACATGTGTACCAACTTATATGTCAATAAATTGTTATTATTAGGCTCTACAGTTAGTCTCCGCCATTGCAGTAAACAAAAAGTTTATAAAACAAAGTTTGCTTTTAGTCTATACAACCATTGTTGACCAGTATTGCCAACCAAGTAGATTTCCATTAAAACTAGTGGTTTCAATCC